AATGGGGATCCTAATAATCAAATCAAAGGTTGAGCCGGCTGGGAGGAAAGGGGACAGTGAGACAAAGTATGTGGAAAGGGAGGAGAGTAGGGTTGAAGAGGCACATTAAGGAGACAGGAGGGAGAAGGATTTAGCAGAAGGGGAAAAGGATAGGATAGAAGAGGAGAGAGTAATGGGAGCGAGAGAGTGAAGATTGTGGTGGCACATGACCGTCTGGGTAGAGTGGGTTGCAGTAAATATGGTGAGAAAAAGAAACAAATTAGTGATCAGAGACATGGAGGGGGGTTGCAGTGAGATTAGTAAGTGAACAGCCTCTAGTGAAGATGAGGTCAAGCGTATTGCTTGCCTTGTGAGTGGGAGGTGACTGGGAAAGGGTGAGGTCAAAAGAGGAAAGGAGTGGAAAGAAAGAGATAGAAATAAATTAATTTAATTCAGGGGTCGGGAGGTTAGTTGTCTAGTACGATGAGTGGTGAGCCATCGTCAGGAAATTAGCTTATCAAGGTGTCAAGCTTGTTGAACTGTCCAAGGGCACCTAGTGGGCAATAGATGATAACAATGTTAAGCTTGAGTGACAGTGACCACATGGAATTCAAATGATGAGATAGACAGGTGAGAGAGGGGGGAAAGAGAACATTTCCACTTTTTTATTTATTTTATTTTACCTTTATTTAACTAGGCAAGTCAGTTAAGAACAAATTCTTATTTACAATGACGGCCTACACCAGCCAAACCCGGACGACGCTGGAGAAATGAGTAGCCCTGTGCCACCACCTCGATGACCAGATGCTCTCTGACTATGAGAGAACACATAGTCAGATGACGAGAGAGCAAACTTAACATGTGTAAATATTTTTATGAACATAACAACATTCAACAACTGAGACATAAACTGAACAAGTTCGACAGACATGTGACTAACAGAAATTGAATAATGTGTCCCTGAACAAAGGGGGGGGGGGTCAAAAGTAACAGTCAGTATCTGGTGTGGCCACCATCTGCATTAAGTATAGCAGTGCATCTCCTCCTCATGATTTGCCAGTTCTTGCTGTGAGATGTTACCCCACTCTTCCACCAAGGCACCTGCAAGTTCCCGTACATTTCTGGGGGGAATGGCCCTTGCCCTCACCCTCCGATCCAACAGGTCCCAGACGTGCTCAATGGGATTGATATCCGGGTTCTTCGCTGGCCATGGCAGAACACTGACATTCCTGTCTTGCAGGAAATCACGCACAGAACGAGCAGTATGGCTGGTGGCATTGTCATGCTGGAGGGTCATGCCAGGATGAGCCTGCAGGAAGGGTACCACATGAGGGAGGAGGATGTCTTCCCTGTAACGCACAGCGTTGAGATTGCCTGCAATGACAACAAGCTCAGTCCGATGATGCTGTGACACACCACCCCAGACCATGACGGACCCTCCACCTCCAAATCGATCCCGCTCCAGAGTACAGGCCTCGGTGTAACGCTCATTCCTTCAACGATAAACGCGAATCCGACCATCACTCCTGGTGAGACAAAACCGCGACTCGTCAGTGAAGAGCACTTTTTGCCAGTCCTGTCTGGTCCAGCGACGGTTGGTTTGTGCCCATAGGCGACATTGTTGCCGGTGACGATGTCTGGTGAGGACCTGCCTTACAACAGGCCTACAAGCCCTCAGTCCAGCATCTCTCAGCCTATTGCGGACAGTCTGAGCACTGATGGAGGGATTGTGCGTTCCTGGTGTAACTCGGGCAGTTGTTGTTGCCATCCTGCACCTGTCCCGCAGGTGTGATGTTCGGCTGTACCGATCCTGTGCAGGTGTTGTTACACGTGGTCTGCCACTGCGAGGACGATCAGCTGTCCGTCCTGTCTCCCTGTAGAGCTGTGTTAGGCGTTTCACAATACGGACATTGCAATTTATTGCCCTGGCCACATCTACAGTCCTCATGCCTCCTTGCAGCATGCCTAAGGCACGTTCACGCAGATGAGCAGGGACCCTGGGCATCTTTCTTTTGGTGTTTTTCAGAGTTAGTAGAAAGGCCTCTTTTGTGTCCTAAGTTTTCATAACTGTGACCTTAATTGCCTACCGTCTGTAAGCTGTTAGTGTCTTAACGACCGTTCCACAGGTGCATGTTCATTAATTGTTTATGGTTCATTGAACAAGCATGGGAAACAGTGTTTAAACCCTTTACATTGAAGCTCTGTGACTTTATTTGGATTTTTACGAATTTTCTTTGAAAGACAGGGTCTTTTTTTGCCAAAGCTACAAAATAGCAAAATGAGATCATCTGTAAATAACTAGGTAAGATACTCAAGTGAGAGTGGTGTGGAGCTTTCCTCTCTTTCTTTCCTCGAATAACTCCGCAAAACAACTCGGCTGAACGTCTTTGTTTCGGCGACAACACCGCCATGATGTGCTAGATGCCTTGCTTAAGATTTATAAAAAAAACAATCCACTGGGGCAGACTAGCTTGATTCTTTCTTGCTGCAGATTTCTGCTCCCCTGATTGCAGAATAATTTACACATATTTTTAACCAGACGATTATATCGCGTGATATACTTATTGTTTGGAAGGCTGCCGATGTGCTCCCCCTCCACAAAAGTAGTTACTGGTCCGACATGAATAATTATCACCCAGTATCTACATTTTCTTGGCTAGCAATCTGTTTTTTTTGCTGCGCTTTTCATTGACCTATCGAAGGCATTTGATACTGTTGACCATTCATTATTAATTCGTAGGTTGTCTGAAATTGGCACCATGCAATTGGTTTGAAAGCTACCTGACACACAGGACACAATGTGTATCTTCTGATGGTGTTAAGTCAGGTTTCCTTGATATTACTAAAGGTGTGCCACAAGGGTCGATTTTGGGCCCTGTACTTTTTCAAATCTATCTAAACAATATTTGTTTGTTTTGTAAGAAATTGTAACCTCCACTTGTATGCGGACGATACGGTCGTGTATTCTTTTTCCCCTTCTGTTGACAAGGCTCTTTCTGATTTTCAGCCTGCCTTCATTGTTTTACAGAAAAGCTTTATTGACCTCAAACTAGTATTTGTGTTTTGCAAGGCGCACAATAATGACTCCATTGTTTTAAGCATCTGTACCTTGGATGGTGCCTACATTGATTGTGTCTCTGCTTATACGTTTCTGGGTATCTGGATAGACGACAAGTTGTCTTTAAAAAACACACAGAGTTAAAAATTGTGTTCTCCTATAGAAATAGGTCATGCCTCTCGCTTTATAGTAGAAAGCAGATCATCAGATCATTCAGTCAACGTTCCTACCGGTCCTAGACTACGGCGACATCATTACATTTTAGTCATTTAGCAGACGCTCTTATCCAGAGCGACTTACAGTTAGTGAGTGCATACATTTTTCACATGAATGCATCATCTATATGAATGCAGCTGCCAATACACTGAAACTATTGAATGCAGTTTATCACAGCGCACTACGCTTTATTGCGGTAGACCGGTTCAGTACACATCACTGCATTCTGTATCAGAAAGTAGGTTTGCCCTCTTTGAGGCCTCATAGATCGATGCATTGCTCTCTTTTTGTTTATAAAGCTCTTTTACAAAAACTCCCGCTGTACCTAACATCATTAATAACCTTTAGGCGTACAAGTTACCATACCCGGTCTCAGGGATGGCGAACTCTGGAGATTCCTTCGGTCTCTACAGAGTTAGGTAAATCAGCTTTTAGTTTTTTTTGCACCTTGTGGAATAATCTCAAACTCTTTACAATTGGATTAATTGGTGCCTCTAGAGCATTTTGATTATTAAGGATATTTTCAATGAAGAATGTATTTGTTTTCTGTGATTGTTTTGTATCTCTGTTTTGCTTTTTATATTGTATTAATTTGTATATTTCTGTAATTACAGGCCTCATCTGTAAAATAAACCTTGGTCTCAGCAAGACTCCCTATCAAAATAAAGGTTAAATAAAAAAATGGCCTTAACCAACCACTCGCTCCCCCCACCGCCATTTGCTACTAGATCTTTGGAGAGACATACATGTCAACAATGCTACATTAAACACAACAGTTTAGAGGATAAATCTGAGCTGGAATCCCAAACACCTTTCACACAAAGGAACAGACAGTCTCGTAGTAGATCATCTTACAATGACAACAAAAACACTCCAGGGACTGGAGTCATCATTTATGTGTACTATACTGATAATGGTTTATCCTAACAAAGGAGGAAGGCAGTGTGTTCTTTTGACTGTCGCGTCACATTGAGGAGAAAGATATCTCAGGCTGTGTCTCAAATAGCTCCCTATTCATTATGTAGTGCACTACTTGTGAATTAGGGTGCCATTTGGATGCAACCTCAGTCCTCAGAGAGGTAATTCGCCTAGATTAGACAGGTATTGAGGGCAGGAAAAACATCTTCCTCTTCCATGAATCAAGGAGACTTACTGTAGCCTATAACGAGTATGCTAAGGCAAACCATCCAGAACAGTGAGCAGCAAAATGTTGTGTACATCTTAAATGGCAACCTATTCCCTATATAGTGCACTACTTTTGACCAGAGCCCTATGGGAATAAAGGGAATAGGGTGCCATTTGGGATGCGTCTGTCTGCTGCTGCATGCTAATTTACTAAATTACATTATTGTTTTGTCCTGGCTGTCTTCTAGTCTGGGGAAGGAAGAATGGATTGTGTACGTTGTGCCTGTTTGCGCTGCTTATTGCAGCCACATCTGTCACAGTAGTAACCCATTTCCTAGTGCTGCTGTGCTGAGGTCCAATTGGCATTTTTACAAAAGCCACAAAGGATGCTCTTGAAGGGTGTCCTTTACTTTCCAGAGGATGTAAAAAAAAAAGGTGTTTGTTTTGGTTCCTCATGTTACCCAGGTCACTTCGCTCTTCCCTGGGCTAGCCTGTCCGGCCAACAAACCCCCCCCCCCCCTTTCTAATCCAGCCCAAATCCAATAAGACCAACCAGACCACATTATAATAATATATGCCTGTCTGTCTGTGTTTGTTTGTTTCTGTCTGGTTTATTATAACCAGGCCGAAGGCACGTCCAAACCAGACTAGTAGAGCCCAGAGCGTCCTCTCTAAACAGCGGGGATTGCTTTCTGCTCATCACTCCCCATCACTGCTTCATCTGGACCGGAGAGTTTGCCAACGTCATCGAGAAGGCCAAGGTGAGTCCGCTATGTTGTAACGGCCATGTTAATTTTCATTCAGTCTTCTTACTCTTCTTGGTGTTATCAGTAACTTGATCAAACTTTATTGTCCCTAGAGGGAAATTCGGTTCATGAGCAGGGGTAACATGATCAAAACACATGCACCAATGTTGTCATACATGTATTGTAAATATTGCTGGTCAGTGTTGTCTTATTGGATATACAAAAATATAAACGCAACAATTTCAAAGATTTTACTGAGTTACAGTTCATATAAGGAAATCACTCAATTGAAATAAATTCATTAAACCCTAATCTATGGATTTCACATGACTGGGAATACAGATATGCATCTGTTGGTCACAGATAGCTTTAAAAAAAAAAAATTGCCTTTGGAATGTTGTCCCACTCCTCTTCAATGGCTATGCGAAGTTGCTGGATAGTGGCAGGAACTGGAACACGCTGTCGTACACAGCGATCCAGAGCATCCCAAACATGCTCAATGGGTGACATGTCTGGTGAGTATGCAGGCCATGGAAGAACTGGGACATTTTCAGCTTCCAGGAATTGTGTACAGATCTTTGCGACATGGGGCCGTGCATTATCATGCTGAAACATGAGGTGATTGCGGAGGATGAATGGCACAACAATGGGCCTCAGGATCTCGTCACGGTATCTCTGTGCATTCAAATTGCCATCGATAATATCATAATTGCCCAAACCATAACCCCACCACCACCATAGGGCACTCTGTTCACAACGTTGACATCAGCAAACCGCTCACCCACATACACGTGGTCTGCGGTTGTGAGGCTGGTTGGACGTACTGCCAAATTCTCTAAAACTACTTTGGATGTCAGGTGGATGGATCATCTTGGCAAAGGAGAAATTCTCACTAACAGGAATGCAAATAAATTTGTGCACAAAACTTGAAAGAAATACGCTTTTTGTGCGTATGGAAAATTTCTGGGATCTTTTATTTCAGCTAATGAAACATGGGACCAACACTTTATATTTTTGTTCAGTATAGTTACATTAGGTATGTTTCTATACTCCATAGATGAACGCGTGTAACCATCTTTCAGTGGGGTTTAAAGGGACTTTGTTCATCCACAGACAGGAACAAAGAACTCCCTGTGGAAAAAGGTGGAGGGGTATGTCTCATGATTAACAACTCATGGTAACGTACAGGAACTCAAGTCCTTTTGTTCTCCCGATCTGGAATACCTCACCATCAAATGCCGACTGCATTATCTACAGAGATAATTTTCTTCAGTTGTCATTGCCGTGGACGTCTACGAATAGACCAGCTATGACCTTCGTAAGGCAATTAGAGGCAAAAAGGGTCGCAATTCAACGGCTCAGACATGAGACGCATGTGGCAGGGACAACAGACAATCACGGATTATAAAGGGAAAACCAGCCACGTCGAGAGCACTGACACCTCGCTCCCGGACAAGCTAAACACTTTCTTTGCCCGCTTCGAGGAAAAGTACACAGTCGCAGAAGTGGGCCCCTGCCGCTTACGAGGACTGTGCTTCCGATCTCCGTGGCCGACGTGAGCAAGACATTCAAGCTCGTTAACCCTCGCAAGGCTAACAGCCCAGACGGCATCCCAAGCCGCGTCCTCAGAGCATGTACAGTTCAGCTGGCTGGAGTGTTTACAGACATATTTAATCTCTCCCTAGCCCAGTATGTTGTCCCCACTTGCTTCAAGATGTCTACCTTTGTTCATGTACTCAAGAAAACTAAGATAACTTAATTAAATTACTATCGTCACATAGCACTCACTTCTGTCATCGTGAAATGCTTTGAGTCGCTAGTGAAGGATCATATCACCTCCACCTTACCCGACACCCTAGAATCACTACAAATTCCATACCGCCCCAGCAGATCCACGGACGACGCAATCGCCATTACACTGCACACTGCCCTATCCCACCTCGACAGGAGGAATACCTACAGTGCTATGAAAAAGTATTTGCCCCCTTTCTAATTTTCTCTACATATTTGTGATACTGAATGTTATCAGATCTTCAACCAAAACCTAATATTAGATAAAGGGAACATAAGTGAAAAAATAACACAACAATTACATATTTATTTCATTTATTTCATAAACAAAGTTATGCAACACCCAATTTCCCTGTGTGAAAAAGTATTTGCCCCCTTACACTCAATAACTGGTTGTGCCATCTTTAGCTGCAATGACTCCAACCAAATGCTTCCTGTAGTTGTTGATCAGTCTCTCACGTCGCTGTGGAGGAATTTTAGCCCACTCTTCCATGCAGAACTGCTTTAACTCAGTGACGTGTGGGTTTTCAAGCATGAACTGCTTGTTTCAAGTCCTGCCACAACATCTCAATTGGGATTAGGTCTGGACTTTGACTAGGCCATTCTAAAACTTCTAATTTGTTGCTTTTTAGCAATTTTCATGTAGACTTGATTGTGTGTTTTGGATCATTGTCTTGCTGCATGACCCAGCTGCCCTTCAGCTTCAGCTCACAGACGGATGGTCTGACATTCTTCTGTAGAATTCTCTGATACAGAGCAGAATTCATGGTTCCTTCTATTAAGGCAAGTCGTCCAGGTCCTGAGGCAGCAAAGCATCCCCAAACCATCACACTAGCACCACCATGCTTGACCTTTGGTATGATGTTCTTACTGTGGAATGCAAAGTTTGGTTTTCACACTGCCTGCCCTCCAGGGCATCTACAGCACCCGCTGTAACAGGATTGTTAAGCCTTGAGACATGGATTGTGTATGTGTGCCAATCAGAGGGTGAATGGGCAAAACAAAAGATTTCAGTGCTTTTTGAATGGTGTATGGTAGTACGTGCCAGGCACACCGGTTTGTGTCAACAACTGCAACACTGCTTGGTTTTTCACGCTCAACAGTTTCCCGTGTGTATCAAGAATGGTCCACCACCCAAAGGACATCCAGCCAACTTGACACAACTGTGGAGTCAACATGGGCCAGCATCCCTGTGGAACGCTTTTGACACCTTGTAAAGTCCATGCCCCGACGAATTGAGGCTGTTCTTAGTGTTTTGTACACTCAGTGTATGTATATACTGTATTCTAGTCTTGGCTCATCATATATACAGTGGGGAGAACAAGTATTTGATACACTGCCGATTTTGCAGGATTTCCTACTTACAAAGCATGTAGAGGTCTGTAATTTTTATCATAGGTACACTTCAACTGCCAGAGACGGAATCTAAAACAAAAATCCAGAAAATCACATTGTAGGATTTTTAAGTAATTAATTTGCATTTTATTGCATGACATAAGTATTTGATCACCTACCAACCAGTAAGAATTCCGGCTCTCACAGACCTGTTAGTTTTTCTTTAAGAAGCCCTCCTGTTCTCCACTCATTACCTGTATTAACTGCACCTGTTTGAACTCGTTACCTGTATAAAAGACACCTGTCCACACACTCAATCAAACAGACTCCAACCTCTCCACAATGGCCAAGACCAGAGAGCTGTGTAAGGACATCAGGGATAAAATTGTAGACCTGCACAAGGCTGGGATGGGCTACAGGACAATAGGCAAGCAGTGTGGTGAGAAGGCAACAACTGTTGCCGCAATTATTAGAAAATGGAAGAAGTTCAAGATGACGGTCAATCATCCTCGGTCTGGTGCTCCATGCAAGATCTAACCTTGTGGGGCATCAATGATCATGAGGAACGTGAGGGATCAGCCCAGAACTACACGGCAGGACCTGGTCATTGACCTGAAGAGAGCTGGGACCACAGTCTCAAAGAAAACCATTAGTAACACACTACTACGTCATGGATTAAAATCCTGCAGCGCACGCAAGGTCCCCCTGCTCAAGCCAGCGCATGTCCAGGCCCGTCTGAAGTTTGCCAATGACCATCTGGATGATCCAGAGGATGAATGGGAGAAGGTCAGGTGGTCTGATGAGACAAAAATAGAGCTTTTTGGTCTAAACTCCACTCGCCGTGTTTGGAGGAAGAAGAAGGATGAGTACAACCCCAAGAACACCATCCCAACCGTGAAGCATGGAGGTGGAAACATCATTCTTTGGGGATGCTTTTCTGCAAAGGGGACAGGACGACTGCACCGTATTGAGGGGAGGATGGATGGGGCCATGTATCGCGAGATCTTGGCCAACAACCTCCTTCCCTCAGTAAAAGCATTGAAGATGGGTCGTGGCTGGGTCTTCCAGCATGACAACGACCCGAAACACACAGCCAGGGCAACTAAGGCTGGCTCCGTAAGAAGCATCTCAAGGTCCTGGAGTGGCCTAGCCAGTCTCCAGACCTGAACCCAATAGAAAATCTTTGGAGGGAGCTGAATGTCCTTATTGCCCAGCGACAGCCCAGAAACCTAAAGGATCTGGAGAAGGTCTGTATGGAGGAGTGGGCCAAAATCCCTGCTGCAGTGTGTGCAAACCTGGTCAAGACCTACAGGAAACGTATGATCTCTGTAATTGCAAACAAAGGTTTCTGTACCAAATATTAAGTTCTGCTTTTCTGATGTATCAAATACTTATGTCATGCAATAAAATGCAAATTAACTACACTGTAACTACTACTGTATCCACCTTTTCTATTCACATTCTGTCCATACTGTCTATACACACCATTCATATACATATATACAGTATATATACAAAAGTATGTGGACACCCCTTCAATTTAGTGGATTTAACTATTTCAGCTATGACAGCTGTATACAACTGAGCACACTGCCATGCAGTCTCCATAGACAAACATTGGCAGTAGAATGGCCTTACTGAAGACCTCAGTGACTTTCAACGTGGCACCGTCATAGGATGCCACCTTTCCAACAAATCAGTTTGTCAAATTTCTGTCCTGCTAGAGCTGCCCCGGTCAACTGTAAGTGCTGTTACTGTGAAGTGGAAACTTCTAGGAGCAGCTCAGCCGCGAAGTGGTAGGCCATACAAGCTCACAGAACGGGACCGCCAAGTGCTGAAGCGCGTAAAAATTGTCTGTCCTCGGTTGCAACACTAATTACTGAGTTCCAAACTGCCTCTGGAAGCAACGTCAGCACAAGAACTGTTTGTCGGGAGCTTCATGAAATGGGTTTACAAGCCTAAGATCACCTTGCGCAATGGACGAATCTGGGTTTGGCGGATGTCAGGAGAACGCTACCTGCCCGAATGCATAGTGCCAACTGTAACGTTTGGTGGAGGGGGAATAATGGTCTGGGGCTGTTTTTCATGGTTCGGGCAAGGCCCCTTAGTCCCAGTGAAGTGAAATCTTAACGCTACAGGAAACAATGACATTCTAGACGATTCTGTGCTTCCAACTTTGTGGCAACAGCTTGGGGAAGGCCCTTTCCGGTTTCAGCATGACAATACCCCTGTGCACAAAGCGAGGTCCATAGAGAAATTGTCTGTCGAGATCGGTGTGGAAGAACTTGACTGGCCTGCACAGAGCCCTGACCTCAACCCATCGAACACTTTTAGGATGAATTGGAACGCCGACTGCGAGCCAGGCCTAATCGCCCAACATCAGTGCCCGACCCTACTTATGCTTTTGTGGCTGAATGGAAGCAAATCCCTGCAGCAATGTTCCAACATCTAGTGGAAAGCCTTCCCAGAAGAGTGGAGGCTGTTATAGCAGCAAAGGGGGGACCAACTCCATATTAATGCCCATGATTTTGGAATGAGATGTTCGACGAGCAGGCATCCACATACTTTTGGTCATGTAGTGTATTTATATTCCTGACTCTGGTTAGGAAGCTAATTTCCTGCAATTCTATCCATTTTGCCATGGGGTTGTGTAACTGTGTATTTATATACATACTGTATTCTTGACATGGCTCATTCTACTATTTCTACTACAGTACATTGCATTTTAGTTACTGTTTATATACACCGTATATTTATTTATATACTGGATTATTGACATAGCCCACTCTATCTAATGCTCTGCATATCATTCTTAGTAAATGTTTTGTAAATTCATCCTGTGTATATACATTACTGTTCAAAATTGGGGGGCACTTAGAAATGTCCTTGTTTTTGAAAGAAAAGCAATTTTTTTGTCCATTCAAATAACATCAAATTGATCAGTAATACAATGTAGACATTGTTAATGTTGTAAATGGCTATTGTAGCTGGAAACTGCTAATTTTTAATGGAATATCTACATAGGCATACAGAGGCCCATTATCAGCAACCATCAGTCCTGTGTTCCAATGGCACGTTGTTTGCTAATCCAGGTTTATCATTTTAAGGCTAATTGATCATTAGAAAACCCTTTTGCAATTATGTTAGCACAGCTGAAAACTGTTGTGCTGATTTAAAGAAGCAATACAACTGGCCTTCTTGAGACTAGTTGAGTATCTGGAGCATCAGATTAGTCTCAAAAAGGCCAGTTTTATTGCTTCTTTAATCAGCACGACAGTTTTCAGCTGTGCTAACATAATTGCAAAAGGGTTTTCTAATGATCAATTATCCTTTTTAAAATTATAAACTTGGATTAGCAAACATAATGTGCCATTGGAACACAGGACTGATGGTTGCTGATAATGGGCCTCTGTATGCCTATGTAGCTATTCAGCCGTTTCCAGCCACAATAGCCATTTACAACATTAACAATGTCTACACTGCATTTCTGATCAATTTGATGTTATTTTAATGGACAAAGAAATTGCTTCTCTTTCGAAAACAAGGACATTTCTAAGTGACCCCAAACTTTTGAACGGTAGTGTATGTATAGATTGCATTTGGATTACTGTTAAGTGCTATTTGGGCTGTTAATTGGATACCGAGATTTCTTGATTTTGTTTTTTTATTAAAATATTTTATATTACTGCATTGTTAGGAGCTAGTAACATTTAAAAATGTTACAACTGGTTTTATTTACTTGATTCTCAGTTCAAACCACCATGTTTTCAAAAGTTGTGCATCTGTAAAGCTCCGCCCATTGACCTTTTAAAAACCAATCAGATTTGTTCTGCCCTAAACCAAACAGATTCTTTTAGCCCTTAGAACAAAGTTGGCTACACTTTGTCAACCTGCAAAACCAAATGGGGGGTTGTTCAAAACACTTGCATAGGTGGCCCATCTCAGGATATGGTTTTTAAGACCACATCTGTTCCCCAATAGCAAAATATCTAATTGTAGAACAATGAAACATCAAATCATCAGTGGTGAATTACTTATTTTAGTCCTAGAATTAACTGTTTTCTTATTGTCTATGTCTTTCTTTCTCAGGCTGCTGAGCTGGCCCAGTTCGTCCAGACCAAGAGAGATCTGGGTTGCCGTGCCAACTATGTAGAGCTGATCGAGGAGGGTATCAACACACACAGCTACGCTGCCAATGAGTTCTGGAAGATTCTGGGCGGACAGACCAGCTACCAGTGTAAGGCTAACTGTCTGTTCGTATTTTAATCAGTTTGTGGGGCGCCCCTTCTTTTGTCTTGCTGTGTCAATGGCTATGTAGTAGCAATCCAAAAATAGTAACCACCTCTTATGAATGTGGTATGTAGGGGTTATGAATGTGTTATGAAGTCCTTATGTAGGTGCCCTTCCAACTGAAGTGCTACCCAGAAAGGCTTCCCTGTTTTCCCGGTATCATCAGTTTCTAACACTGATGATAGTTTTATGAAATTTCGTTACAGTTTCTAACTTCCTGTGTCCTTCCTGTAGCCGTGGGGACACCAGACGAGGATGAGCTGTATGAGAGCGCCATCGTAGAAACCAATTGCATCTACCGCCTAGTGGACGACAAACTGGTCCCCGATGACGACTTCTGGGGGAAGGTACCCCGATGCACACTGCTCAGCCCCAAACAGGTCAGATATTACTACTACTAACATTGTTTGGTCTGGATTTAGATTTCCATTCTGAATGGATCCCAATCAAGTTAAGACAGAGATATAGAAATAAACCTGGCTGATCAGACACTGCTGTAACTCCTTAATAGAGATTGTTAGACACTGACAGGTACGCTACTCTGATCTGCTACAGTTCCTCACTTTCAAATGACAATTTTGAGCTGAAGTGCATAATATCATTGTACTGGTTCTGATTGCCCCCTCTCTGCTCTGCTCTCCAATAGGTGTTGGTGTTTGACTTTGGCAGTGAGGTGTATGTGTGGCACGGTAAGGAGGTGACTCTGGCCCAGAGAAAAGTTGCCTTCCAGCTGGCAAAACACCTGTGGAACGGAATCTTCGACTACACAAACTGTGACATTAACCCCCTGGACCCTGGAGAGTGCAACTCACTCATACCCAGGTATGGCTCACATACACTCATACCCAGGTATGGCTCACATACACTCATACCCAGGTATGGCTCACAGACACTCATACTCAGGTATGGTTCAGACACTTATACCCAGCTATATATCCACTCATATTCTGTCTCTCACACAAACACGCACACACAAAGCATAATAATAACCATGAAAACATTTATCTTTAAAGTCCACCACTTTCAGTTAATTTGCGTTTACACAGTGTCTCTATCTGAGTGTTACAGTATGTATTGAGATGAGGTAACTTTGAGCTGCCTTCTTAAAACCACCCAGGTCAGTACAGGTTGTACAACATTCCCCCCTCCAATAGGGACCCTAGCCAAGTATTCCACTATATGTAAACAGCTCTGAGGCTAGGGGAGACTCGGCACAACTCACATCCTATAAATGGGCAGGAGTGTCGGAGCTCCGCTCTGCACTAAACAACCCGTCTCTGCCTCTATGCCCATTGACAAGTTGGTAGGCTTCTTTAATCCCACTTGCCAGGTTGTCATTGCAAATAGGAAATAGTTCTAAACTGATATGGCTGGGAAAATAAAGGTTGAAGGCCCAGTGCAGTTAAAATTATGTTTTTCCTGTGTTTTATATCATATTGTACAACAGCTGATGAAACTAACACTGTAAAAGTGTGAAAACATTTGATCAGTGTTATTTCCTGATAGTTGCTGGTTGAAAATACAATCTACACAGGACCTTCTAATCAGCAGGTTTGCATGGGTGTTTCGGCTTTCCGTGGTGACATCATCATGCGGTAAATTGGTTAATAGACCAATAAGAAAGAGTTCCAAACCTCTCTGCCAATAACAGCTAGTTTTCCCCTCCCCACTCAGACCACCCTGACAGTCCTAGCAAAATTATTGCTTGAGAAATCGTTTTTTGCTAAAAAAGTTTTTCAATTTAAATGGAAATCTTTTACAGTAAGGTACTTAATTGTTACCCAGAAATGATTAGATATGGATATAAAACTTCTTAATTGGGCCTTTACATAAAATATCTAATTAAAAGCTACAAATAGCCTTTGTCCTCTCCACCTCTCCCATTTCAACTCGTACCTTTCCATCTGTCCTCTCTCTTCCTCTGTCGGGTGCAGGAAAGGCCAGGGCCGTCCAGACTGGGCTGTGTTTGGAAGGTTGACGCAACACAATGAGACCACCCTGTTCAAGGAGAAGTTCCTGGACTGGACAGACTCCAAGAAGAAAGGTACCACCAAGAATGGCCATGAGCATCTCAACGAAAACAACAAGGTACAGCTACAAATAGTTTTTAACATCTTTTTTTTTGTTCACCTCCTTTCAAGTCTTTGTCCTGTAGCTTCTCAAGCATTCCTTATTAGAAGGTAAGCCATAATACTGGCTAAATCATACAAAATTAGACGAGAACAAAGCCTCATTCTGTTCCAACAACCCATCCCTCATTTCTATCTCTCTGCCCTCACAACAACCACCACACGCATCTTAACCTCCCTGCTCACCCTTCTCTTCCTAAACCCTTTTTGTCGCTTTCCCCTCCCCCCAGGAGCAGCAGAGCCCGGAACAGAACATGATGCGGGCCTATGATGCCTCCCTGATGCTGCCGCTGCTCCAGAACCCAGTTCGTACGGTGTTGGATGGGGTGGATGTGGGCCGGGGCTATGGCCCGGTGGCAGGGGACGACCACAGGCACTTTGAGATCAGCACCACCGCAGTGGACATCTGGCACATACTAGAGTTTGACTACAGGTGGGTGTGTATGGCTGTGTAGCAAATGGCACCCTATTCCCTACATAGTGCACTACATGACCAGGGCACTGTATAAGGAATAGGGTGCCATTTGGGATGCTACTATGTGTGTGTCGCGGTATGGTTGGGTTAAAGGAAAAAGGACAATTGACAAAGTATATCTCATATCCTACAGCCGGCTGCCCAAGCAGAGCATTGGACAGTTCCATGAGGGAGACACCTATGTGGTGAAATGGAAGTACATGGTGAGCACCGCAGGTTAGTATTGAGCAACCGTTGCCCACATCTGTACGCCATCACACACCACAAAGCGCGCTCTCTCTCTCTCACTCTGTCTTTCTTTGTCTCTCTTTTGCTAATGTCGCTGATGACACACCTAAACTAGTGCAGGTGTTTGAAATCTGGATTTTGTCTTGGTTATTTAACGGAAAGACACCCTGTGTTCCTCTTTTAGACTGAGCACTACTGACCTTTGAGTAAGCTTGAACATATCCTCCTTGATTTATACACTCTTCTTCTCCGTGTAAAGACCATATAAAGATTGCCTCCTGTCACCCTTCTCCCTTCCTCCCCCCTTCTCTTCCTTTCTCTGTACTCTCCCCCCTTTCTCTCCCTCGGTATGTTTGGGTAATAATTAAACATTACATAAACTCATGGATACCGACCGTGCTGTTCAAAAGCCTAGCTCGCTGTAGGAATCCATGTTCTATACTTTGTCATGGCACGGCCAGCCCAGGGCCTTTCACAATGCAACCAAACAGTAATTCATATCACTACTAGTGGGAAGAGAGTTTGACAGGGGCGCTGGCAAGTGGCTGTGATTAGTTCTAGTGGTTAGCAGTAGTACGGCTAGTTCTCTTCTGCACAGAGAGAGGGCGAGAGAGACCATAGGACCTGTCAATGTATGGGCTGCTGAACATGATAGCCGATTACAGTAATAGAGTATCGTCTTTCATCTATCTTACATAGTACACAGATACAGGCAGACACACTGATGTACCATTGTCGTGCATATGGTTTGACAGGTGCACACAAGGGGTGCTATAAAAATATGTATATATTATTTTAAAAATATATGTGTGTGTATTTTTATATATATGTATATATATATATATGTGTGTGTGTGTGTGTGTGTGTGTGTGTATATATATATATATGTGTATGTATATGTGTACAGTTGAAGTCGGAAGTTTACTTACACTTAGGTTGTAGTCATTAAAACTCGTTTTTCAACCACTCCACAAATTTCTTGTTAACAAACTATAGTTTTGGCAAGTCGGTCAGGACATCTACTTTGTGCATGACACAAGTAATTTTTCCAACAATTGTTTACAGACAGATTATTTCACTTATAATTCACTGTATTACAATTCCAGTGGGTCAGAAGTTTACATACACTATGTTGACGGTGCCTTTAAACAGCTTGGAAAATTCCAGAAAATGATGTCATGGCTTTAGAAGCTTCTGATAGGCTAATTGACATCATTTGAGTCAATTGGAGGTGTACCTCTGGATATATTTCAAGGCCTACCTTCAAACTCAGTGCCTCTTTGCTTGACATCATGGGAAAATCAAAAGAAGTCTGGTTCATCCTTGGGAGCAATTTCCAAACGCCTGAAGGTACCACGTTCATCTGTACAAACAATAGTACGCAAGTATAAACACCATGGGACCACGCAGCCGTCATACCGTTCAGGAAGGAGACGCGTTCTGTCTCCTAGAGATGAACGTACTTTGGTGCGAAAAGTGCAAATCAATCCCAGAACAACAACAAAGGATCTTGTGAAGATGCTGGAGGAAACAGGTACAAAATTATCTATATCCACAGTAAAATGAGTCCTATATCGACATAACCTGAAAGGCTGCTCAGCAAGGAAGAAGCCACTGCTCCAAAACCTCCATAAAAAAGCCAGACTATGGTTTGCAACTGCACATGGGGACAAAGATCATACTTTTTGGTGAAATGTCCTCTGGTCTGATGAAACATAGTGACCATAATGACCATCGTTATGTTTGGAGGAAAAAGGGGGTTGCTTGCCAGCCCAAGAACACAAGGTAGAATCATGCTGTGGGGGTGCTTTGCTGCAGGAGGGACTGGTGCACTTCACAAATTAGATGGCATCATGAGGAAGGAAAATGATATTGAAGCAACATCTCAAGACATCAGTCAGGAAGTTAAAGCTTGGTTGCAAATGGGTCTTCCAAATGGACAATGACCCCAAGCATACTTCCAATGTTGTGGCAAAATGGCTTAAGGACAACAATGTCAAGGTATTGGAGTGGCCATCACAAAGCCCTAACCTCAATCCTATAGAAAATGTGTGGGCAGAACTGAAAAAGTGTGTGCGAGCAAGGAGGCCTACAAACCTGACTCAGTTACACCAGTTCTGTCAGGAGCAATGTGCCAAAATTCACCCTACTTATTGTGGGAAGCTTGTGGAAGGCTAACTGAATCGTTTGACCCAAGTTAAACTATTTAAAGGCAATGCTACCAAATACTAATTGATTGTATGTCAACTTCTGACCTACTGAGAATGTGATGAAAGAAATATAAGTGGTGATCCTAACTGACCTAAGACAGGGAATTTTTACTAGGATTAAATGTCAGGAATTGTGAAAAACTGAGTTTAAATGTATTTGGCTAAGGTGTATGTAAACTTCCGACTTCAACTGTATATATATATATATATATGTATATATATGTATGTACAGTGAGGGGAAATAAGTATTTGACCCCTATGCAAAACATGACTTAGTACTTGGTGGCAAAACCCTTGTTGGCAATCACAGAGGTCAGACGTTTCTTGTAGTTGGCCACCAGGTTTGCACACATCTCAGGAGGGACTTTGTCCCACTACTCTTTGCAGATCTTCTCCAAATCATTAAGGTTTCGAGGCTGACGTTTGGCAACTCGAACCTTCAGCTCCCTCCACAGATGTTCTATGGGATTAAGGTCTGGAGACTGGCTAGGCCACTCCAGGACCTTAATGTGCTTCTTCTTGAGCCACTCCTTTGTTGCCTTGGCCGTGTGTTTTGGGTCATTGTCATGCTGGAATACCCATCCACGACCCATTTTTAATGCCCTGGCTGAGGGAAGGAGGTTCTCACCCAAGATTTGATGGTACATGGCCCCGTCCATCATCCCTTTGATGCGGTGAAGTTGTCCTGTCCCCTTAGCAGAAAAACACCCCCAAAGCATCATGTTTCCACCTCCATGTTTGACAGTGTGGATGGTGTTCTTGGGGTCATAGGCAGCATTCCCCCTCCTCCAAACACGGCGAGTTGAGTTGATGCCAAAGAGCTCGAATTTGGTCTCATCTGACCACAACACTTTCACCCAGTTCTCCTCTGAATCATTCAGATGTTCATTGGCAAACTTCAGACGGGCCTGTATATGTGCTTTCTTGAGCAGGGGGACCTTGCGGGCGCTGCAGGATTTCAGTCCTTCACGGCGTAGTGTTTTACCAATTGTTTTCTTGGTGACTATGGTCCCAGCTGCCTTGAGATCATTGACAAGATCCTCCTGTTTAGTTCTGGTCTGATTCCTCACCGTTCTCATGATTATTGCAACTCCACGAGGTGAGATCTTGCATGGAGCACCAGGCTGAGGGAGATTGACAGTTATTTTGTGTTTCTTCCATTTGCGAATAATCGCACCAACTGTTGTCACTTTCTCACTTTCTCACCAAGCTGCTTGGCAATGGTCTTGTAGCCCATTCCAGCCTTGTGTAGGTCTACAATCTTGTCCCTGACATCATTGGAGAGCTCTTTGGTCTTGGCCATGGTGGAGAGTTTGGAATCTAATTGATTGATTGATTGCTTCTGTGGGCAGGTGTCTTTTATACAGGTAACAAGCTGAGATTAGGAGCACTCCCTTTAAGAGTGTGCTCCTAATCTCAGCTCGTTACCTGTATTAAAGACACCTGGGAGCCAGAAATCTTTCTGATTGAGAGGGGGTCAAATACTTATTTCCCTCATTAAAATGCAAATCAATTTATAACATTTTTGACATGCGTTTTTCTGGATTTTGTTGTTGTTCTGTCTCTCACTGTTCAAATAAACCTACCATTACAATTATAGACTGATCATTTCTTTGTCAGTGGGCAAACGTACAAAATCAGCAGGGGGATCAGCCACCAATTGGGGATCAGCCACCAATTGTGCAAGTTCTCCCACATAAAAAGATGAGAGAGGCCTGTAATTTTCATCATAGGTACTCGTCAACTAAAAAAAAAATCCAGAAAATGACATTGTAGGATTTTTTATGAATTTATTATTATTTATTTGCATATTATGGTGGAAAATAAGTATTTGGTCACCTACAAACAAGCAAGATTTCTGGCTCTCACAGACCTGTAACTTCTTCTTTAAGAGGCTCCTCTGTCCTCCACTCGTTACCTGTATTAATGGCACCTGTTTGAACTTGTTATCAGTATAAAAGACACCTGTCCACAACCTCAAACAGTCACACTCCAAACTCCACTATGGACAAGACCAAAGAGCTGTCAAAGGACACCAGAAACAAAATTGTAGACCTGCACCAGGCTGGGAAGACTGAGTCTGCAATAGGTAAGCAGCTTGGTTTGAAGAAATCAACTGTGGGAGCAATTATTAGGAAATGGAAGACATACAAGACCACTGATAATCTCCCTCGATCTGGGGCTCCACGCAAGATCTCACCCCGTGGGGTCAAAATGATCACAAGAACAGTGAGAAAAATTCCCAGAACCACACGGGGGGACCTAGTGAATGACCTGCAGAGAGCTGGGACCAAAGTAACAAAGCCTACCATCAGTAACACACTACGCCGCCAGGGACTCAAATCCTGCAGTGCCAGACGTGTCCCCCTGCTTAAGCCAGTACATGTCCAGGCCCGTCTGAAGTTTGCTAGAGTGCATTTGGATGATCCAGAAGAGGATTGGGAGAATGTCATATGGTCAGATGAAACCAAAATAATAACTTTTTGGTAAAAACTCAACTCGTCGTGTTTGGAGGACAAAGAATGCTGAGTTGCATCCAAAGAACACCATACCTACTGTGAAGCATGGGGGTGGAAACATCATGCTTTGGGGCTGTTTTTCTGCAAAGGGACCAGGACGACTGATCCATGTAAAGGAAAGAATGAATGGGGCCATGTATCGTGAGATTTTGAGTGAAAACCTCCTTCCATCAGCAAGGGCATTGAAGATGAAATTTGGCTGGGTCTTTCAGCATGACAATGATCCCAAACACACCGCCCGGGCAACGAAGGAGTGGCTTCGTAAGAAGCATTTCAAGGTCCTGGAGTGGCCTAGCCAGTCTCCAGATCTCAACCCCATAGAAAATCTTTGGAGGGAGTTGAAAGTCCGTGTTGCCCAGCGACAGCCCCAAAACATCACTGCTCTAGAGGAGATGTGCATTGAGGAATGGGCCAAAATACCAGCAACAGTGTGTGAAAACCTTGTGAAGAGTTACAGAAAACGTTTGACCTGTGTCATTGCCAACAAAGGGTATATAACAAAGTATTGAGAAACTTTTGTTATTGACCAAATACTTATTTTCCACCATAATTTGCAAATAAATTCATAAAAAATCCTACAATGTGATTTTCTGGATGTTTTTTTCTCATTTTGTCTGTCATAGTTGACGTGTACCTATGATGAAAATCACAGGCCTCTCTCATTTTTTTAAGTGGGAGAACTTGCACAATTGGTGGCTGACTAAATACTTTTTTCCCCACTGTGTGTGTGTGTGTGTGTGTGTGTGTGTATATATATATATATATATATATATATATAATGTATATATATATATAATGTATATGTGTATATATGTAATGTATGTTTATATACAGTGGGGAGAACAAGTATTTGATACACTGCCGATTTTGCAGGTTTTCCTACTTACAAAGCATTCCTACCCCACTGTATGTATGTATATATATATGTACAGTGGGGAGAACAAGTATTTGATACACTGCCGATTTTGCAGGTTTTCCAACTTACAAAGCATGTAGAGGTCTGTCATTTTTATCATAGGTACACTTCAACTGTGAGAGACTGAATCTAAAACAAAAATCCAGAAAATCAAACTGTATGATTTTTAAGTAATTAATTTGCTTTTTATTGCATGACATAAGTATTTGATACATCAGAAAAGCAGAACTTAATATTTGGTACAGAAACCTTTGTTTGCAATTACAGAGATCATACATTTCCTGTAGGTCTTGACCAGGTTTGCACACACTGCAGCAGGGTTTTTGGCCCACTCCTCCATACAGACCTTCTCCAAATCCTTCAGGTTTGGGGGCTGTCGCTGGGCAATACGGACTTTCAGCTCCCTCCAAAGATTTTCTATTGGGTTCAGGTCTGGAGACTGGCTAGGCCACTCCAGGACCTTGAGATGCTTCTTACGGAGCCACTCCTTAGTTGCCCTGGCTGTGTGTTTCGGGTTGTTGTCATGCTGGAAGACCCAGCCACGACCCATCTTCAATGCTCTTACTGAGGGAAGGAGGTTGTTGGCCAAGATCTCGCGATACATGGCCCCATCCATCCTCTCCTCAATACGGTGCAGTCGTCCTGTCCCCTTTGCAGAAAAGCATCCCCAAAGAATTATGTTTCCACCTCCATGATTCATGGTTGGGATGGTGTTCTTGGGGTTGTAGTCATCCTTCTTCTTCCTCCAAACACGGCGAGTTGAGTTTAGACCAAAACACTCTATTTTTGTCTCATCAGACCACATGACCTTCTCCCATTCCTCCTCTGGATCATCCAGATGGTCATTGGCAAACTTCAGACAGGCCTGGACATGCGCTGGCTTGAGCAGGGGGACCTTGCGTGCGCTGCAGGATTTTAATCCATGACGGCGTAGTGTGTTACTAATGGTTTTCATTGAAACTGTGGTCCCAGGTCTCTTCAGGTCATTGACCAGGTCCTGCCGTGTAGTTCTGGGCTGATCCCTCACCTTCCTCATGATCATTGATGCCCCACGAGGTGAGATCTTGCATGGAGCCCCAGACTGAGGGTGATTGACCGTCATCTTGAACTTCTTCCATTTTCTAATAATTGCGCCAACAGTTGTTGCCTTCTCACCAAGCTGCTTGCCTATTGTCCTGTAGCCCATCCCAGCCTTGTGCAGGTCTACAATTTTATCCCTGATGTCCTTACACAGCTCTCTGGTCTTGGCCATTGTGGAGAGGTTGGAGTCTGTTTGATTGAGTGTGTGGACAGGTGTCTTTTACACAGGTAACGAGTTCAAACAGGTGCAGTTAATACAGGTAATGAGTGGAGAACAGGAGGGCTTCTTAAAGAAAAACTAACAGGTCTGTGAGAGCCGGAATTATTACTGGTTGGTAGGTGATCAAATACTTATGTCATGCAATAAAATGCAAATTAATTACTTAAAAATCATACAATGTGATTTTCTGGATTTTTGTTTTAGATTCCGTCTCTTACAGTTGAAGTGTACCTATGATAAAAATGACAGACCTCTACATGCTTTGTATGTAGGAAAACCTGCCAAATCGGCAGTGTATCAAATACTTGTTCTCCCCACTGTATGTATGTATGTATGTATATACAGTGAGGGGAAAAAAGTTTTTGATCCCCTGCTGATTTTGTATGTTTGCCCACTGACAAAGAAATGATCAATCTATAATTTTAATGGTAGGTTTATTTGAACAGTGAGAGACAGAATAACAACAAAAATATCCAGAAAAACGCATGTCAAAAATGTTATAAATTGATTTGCATTTTAATGAGGGAAATAAGTATTTGACCCCCTCTCAATCAGAAAGATTTCTGGTTCCCAGGTGTCTTTTATACAAGTAATGAGCTGAGATTAGGAGCACACTCTTAAAGGGAGTGCTCCTAATCTCAGTTTGTTACCTGTATAAAAGACACCTGTCCACAGAAGCAATCAATCAATCAGATTCCAAACTCTCCACCATGGCCAAGACCAAAGAGCTCTCCAAGAGTGTCAGGGACAAGATTGTAGACCTACACAAGGCTCGAATGGGCTGCAAGACCATCGCCAAGCAGCTTGGTGAGAAGGTGACAACAGTTGGTGCGATTATTCGCAAATGGAAGAAACACAAAACAACTGTCAATCTCCCTCGGCCTGGGGCTCTGTGCAAGATCTCAACTCGTGGAGTTGCAATGATGAGGAATCAGCCCAGAACTACACGGGAGGATCTTGTCAATGTTCTCAAGGCAGCTGGGACCATAGTCACCAAGAAAACAATTTGTAACACACTACGCCGTGAAGGACTGAAATCCTGCAGTGCCCACAAGGTCCCCCTTCTCAAGAAAGCACATATACAGGGCCGTCTGAAGTTTGCCAATGAACATCTGAATGATTCAGAGGAGAACTGGGTGAAAGTGTTGTGGTCAGATGAGACCAAAATTGAGCTCTTTGGCATCAACTCAACTCGCCGTGTTTGGAGGAGGAGGAATGCTGCCTATGACCCCAAGAACACCATACCCACCGTCAAACATGGAGGTGGAAACATTATGCTTTGGGGGTTTTTCTGCTAAGGGGACAGGACAACTTCACTGCATCAAAGGGACGATGGACGGGGCCATGTACCATCAAATCTAGGGGTGAGCACCGCCTTCCCTCAGCCAGGGCATTAAAAATGGGTTGTGGATGGGTATTCCAGCATGACAATGACCCAAAACACATGGCCAAGGCAACAAAGGAGTGGCTCAAAAGAAGCACATTACGGTCCTGGAGTGGCCTAGCCGGTCTCCAGACCTTAATCCCATAGAAAATCTGTGGAGGGAGCTGAAGGTTCGAGTTGCCAAACGTCAGCCTCGAAACCTTAATGACTTGGAGAAGACCTGCAAAGAGGAGTGGAACAAAATCCCTCCTGAGATGTGTGCAAACCTGGTGGCCAACTACAAGAAACGTCTGACCTCTGATTGCCAACAAGGGTTTTGCCACCAAGTACTAAGTCATGTTTTGCAGAGGGGTCAAATACTTATTTCCCTCATTAAAATGCAAATCAATTAATAACATTTTTGACATGCGTTTTTCTGGATTTTATGTTGTTATTCTGTCTCTCACTGTTCAAATAAACCTACCATTTAAAATTATAGACTGATCAATGTCTTTGTCAGTTGGCAAACGTACAAAATCAGCAAGGGATCAAATACTTTTTCCCCTCACTGTATATATATTAGTATTTTTTTTATGTAGGACCCATTGTGTGCACATTCGGTGTATCTGTCAAACCATATGCACGACAATGGTACACCAGTGTGTCTGCCTGTTTAGATCCAGTCAAAAGTTTGGACAAACCTACTCATTCAAGGGTTTTTCTTTGCTGTTTTCTACATTGTAGATTAATAGTGAAGACATCAAAAGTATGAATTAACACATATGGAATCATATAGTTACCAAAAAAGTGTTAAACAAATCAAAATATGTTATATTTTAGATTATTCAAAGTAGCCACCATTTGCCTTGATGACAGCTTTGATTTGTTCATCATTGCCTCGATCCTGACTAGTATCCCAGTCCCTGCTGCTGAAAAACATTCCCACAGCACGATGCTGCCACCACCATGCTTCACTGTAGGGATGGTGCCAGGTTTCCTCCAGACGTGACGCTTGGCATTCAGGCCGAAGAGTTCAATCTTGGTTTCATCATACCAGAGAATCTTGTTTCTCATGGTCTGAGAGTCCTTTAGGTGCCCTTTGGCAAACTCCAAGCGGGCTGTCATTTGCCTTTTACTGAGAAGTGGCTTCCGTCTGGCCACTCCATACCATAAAGGCCTGAGTGCTACGGAGATGGCTTGGTTTTTGCTCTGACATGCACTGTCAACTGTGGGACCTTATATAGACAGGTGTGTGCCTTTCCAAATGACATTCAATTAATTGAATTTACGACAGGTGGACTCCAATCAAGTTGTAGAAACATCTCAAGGATGATCAATGGAAACAGGATGCACCTGAGCTCAATTTCGAGTCTCATAACAGGATGTCACAACTATTTATAGTTGCACATTCGAGTTGTTTGTGAATCCATGTCTCTGTCTGTTGATCCTAGTTGGGAAGAGGCAGAATCCGGACGCGGTGAGGAGCGCAGGAGCTGGGAAGGAGAAGTGTTCCTATTTCTTCTGGCAGGGCCGGAATTCTACCGTCAGTGAGAAGGGAACTTCAGCACTAATGACTGTAGAACTGGACGAGGAGAGAGGAGCACAGGTACTTTGTGTGTGTGTGTGTGTGGTGTGAGTCTGTGTGTGGTGCGAGTGCCAGGGGAGAATGACTGCCCCCTCTCATTGATATCACGGAAGTTCAAGGCCGACCGCTGTACTGCAGGCAATGTTCGCAGAAAACAGGATCCCCCATTATAGTGAATGGAAAAATGTCAATCTTGGTGTATTTTTTAAAAGACAATCATGGTACCAATAATTGCTTCTAATACACCAGATGTATGTCATTGAACCGATTTATAAACAAATCGCACACAGAATAAGTTATAAGGAGAATTTACTTACTAATGGCAGCCTGCAGTACCCCGGTCGGCCTTCAACTTGAATTACTCAATGAGAAGGGACACTGAGCTAGCACTGATCTAGCCTACAATGTCACTTCCTGGAGTAGCTCAAACTATTCATGTTATGTCTCCATGAGACGCCATCTTAAGACTTCATTTGGCTTCAGTGCGCTATTGAGTCTTCACATAGGAATGAATGGTGTCACGTCATCGATGGCTTTGGCCATTCATATACAGTACCAGTCAAAAGTTTGGACACACCTACTCATTCCAGGGTTTTTCTTTATTTGTACTATTTTCTACATTGTAGTGAAGACATCAAAACGATGAAATAAAACATATGGAATCATGTAGTAACCAAGAAAGTGTTAAACAAATCAAAACATATTATATATTTGAGATTCTTCAAAGTAGCCACCCTTTACCTTGATGACAAACTCTTGGCTTTCTCTCAACCAGCTTCATGAGGTAGTCACCTGGAATGCATTTCAATTAACAGGTGTGCCTTCTTAAATGTTAATTTGTGGAATGTCTTTCCTTCTTAATGCGTTTGAACCAATCAGTTGTGCTGTGACAAGGTAGGGGTGGTATACAGAAGATGGCCCTATTTGGTAAAAGACCAAGTCCATATTATGGCAAGAACAGCTCAAATAAGCAAAGAGAAACGACAGTCCATCATTACTTTTAAGACATGATGGTCAGTCAATCCGGAAAATGTCAAGAACTTTCTTCAAGTGCAGTCGCAAAAACCATCAAGCGCTATGATGAAACAGGCTCTCATGAGGACTGCCACAGGAGGATACGTTAATTAGAGTTACCAGCCTCAGAAATTGCAGCCCAAATAAACGCTTCACAGAGTTCAAGTAACAGACAGATCTCAACATCAACTGTTCAGAGGAGACTGCGTGAATCAGGCCTTCATGGTCTAATTGCTGCAAAGAAACCACTACTAAAGGACACCAATAAGAAGAAGAGACTTGCTTGGGCCAAGAAACACGAGGAATGGACTATTGACCGGTGGAAATCATTCATTTGGTCTGATGAGTCCATATTTGATATTTTTGGTTCCAACCGCCATGTCTTTGTGAGACACAGAGTAAATACTAAAATCTAAAATATATTTTGATTTGTTTAACACTTTTTTGGTTACTACATGATTCCATGTGTTATTTCATAGTGTTGATGTCTTCACTATTATTCTACAATGTAGAAAATAGTAAAAAATAAAGAACAACCCTTGAATGATTAGGTGTGTCCAAACTTTTGACAAGTACTGTATACAGCCATCGGTGTGTGTGCGTGCGTGCCTCCTTGTCCGTGTGTATATGTAACCACTCTCTCCTCTGCTCTTACAGGTCCAGGTGCAGCAGGGGAAGGAACCTCCATGTTTCCTGCAATGTTTTAATGGAGGGATGGTGGTCCATGCAGGGAAGAGAGAAGAGGAGGAGGAGAACTCACAGAGTAAGTTACCATCCACACCTTTCCCTCTCATTAGTACTATCCTCCTTTCTCCTGCTATCATCCCACTGAGTTTGTTTTTCTTTCAGTGTGTGTGTCAGAGAGAGATGGATTATACGTTTGCCTTATCTTGCCGCTCTTGTCTATTAGATATGACGTGTTTGAAACGGCATAGGGGTGTGGAACTCCAATGGAAGCCCATGAAACATATATTTTTCTCCAAAGGCATGATTTATGTATGGTCTTTTCCTGTTATTCTACAGTCATCAGTGGGGATGTCTGTACGTTGTGTGTACGTCCGTGTTTGTTATATTTGGCAACACTTTACCTTAAGTTGCCCCTATACGTATGTAACTGCATAGAATTAACTGTAGTAACAATGTTTCATTACATAGAAACTGCTACGTAATTACATTGTTATAGAGTGGTATAGGTTATTACAATCCTCTCCCCCATCAGATGACTGGAGGTTGTACTGTGTGCGGGGGGAGGTCCCAGTGGAGGGCTACCTGCTGGAGGTATCATGCCACTGCTGCAGTCTGCGCTCCCGGACCTCTATGGTGCTTCTCAGCGTCTCTAAAGCAACCATGTACGTGTGGCACGGCTGCAAGGCCCAGCTCCACACCCGCGACGTGGGGCGCACCGCCACCAACAAGATCAAAGAACAGTGAGTCCCAACATTCACAACACTTTCCTATGATTTCTTTCCTAGTATTCTGACGTGGCAGGCAGAAGACGGCATGTTCATTCTCCCTGACATGTTATTGTCCAGTTGGGGTTAGGGTAATGGCCTACCCTGCCACTGTGAGAGGTCAAAGGGCTCAACTTAAAGACTGATGTTGAGCACTCTCTGATATGATTTGTTTGAAGTCTAAGTAATGTTAATGTCTCCAATCCAATTGAATAAATTGATCTCATTACTATAACTGTGTTCAATAAGCCTTGGTCAGGCATAAGTCTTTTAACAGTGTGCGCGCATGCATGCCATATCTGGATATGAGTGTGTGAGCCATACAGTACCTGGGTATGAGTTATTTGGACTCTCCAGGGTCAACTGGATTGATGTCACAGTTGGTGTAGTCGAAGGTTCCGTTCCACAGGTGTTTAGCCAGCTGTTTTTATGCAGGTGTCCGTTGGAGGCGGGGCTCCACAGCAGCAGTAAGGTGACCATCCATGAGTGTGATGAGGGGGCGGAGCCTACGGGATTCTGGGAAGCTCTGGGAAGGAGAGATAGGAAGGCCTACGACTGCATGCTCCAAGGTTAGTGTCCTTTTCTTTAAGGGTCTATTTATGGTAGTCCAATATCCTTCATAATAGACTGATACTGAATTGCTTTTTTAGGAGTTTCTTTGTTCTGGTGTAAGGTGGTTACTGTAAATTGGTTGGTTGATTTATTGAATTATTGGTTGGTTGATGTGATGACCTTCAACCTTTGATCCCCAGATCCAGGGAAGTTCAACTTCACCCCTCGTCTCTACCAGCTGAGCAGTACGTCTGGAGAGTTTGTGGCCATGGAGTTATTCTACCCAGCCAGAGTAACGGAGGAGGTCAACTCACTGCCCTTCCTACAGGAGGACCTCTACACTGCCTCTCAACCAGGTACTGTACAGGTTACACACACACACAGAACCTAGGCTGGGGCGATACCCTGGTGTACGGTATAAACGGTATATTTCGAAATACTGACGGTATGATTTTCAATACCATACATGTTTTTTTAGATCTAAGATGTCAAATGTAATTATATCCAGCTCAGTGCTCCAGCTATGCATTTGGTTTGCTAACTTGCTAGCCAACCAAGCTTCTTGGTTACAGCAGAGACATTCAATCCCCTCCTGGATCAAGATCCCTGTTGCCTAAATTGTTTTGTGCGAAAAAGAAAAAAAAACAGGGATCATGATCCAAGAGGGGATTGATTGTCTCTTCTGTAACTAGCTAGCAAGTTAGCAAACCAAATGCATAGCTTGTCCTGAGCTGGATATAATTTATTTGACACATCTTAGATTTCTTATAGTTATACTTCTAATTACAGTATAAGCAGACACGTAGCACACACCCCCGCAGCCCTTATACACTACCAGTCAAAGGTTTGGACACACCTACTCATTCAAGAGTTTATCATAATTTTTACTATTTGCTACATTGTAGAATAATAGTGAATACATCAAAACTATGAAATAACACATATGGAATCCTGTAGTAACCAAAAAAGTGTTAAATCAAAATATATTTTAGATTTTTTTATTATTCAAATAGCCACCCTTTGCCTTGATGACAGCTTTGCACAATCTTGGCATTCTCTCAACCAGCTTCACCTGGTATGCTTTTCCAACAGTCTTGAAGGAGTTCCCACATATGCTGAGCACTTGTTGGCTGCTTTTCCTTCACTCTGCGGTCCAACTCGTCCCAAACCATCTCAATTGGGTTGAGGTCGGATGATTGTGGAGGCCAGGTCATCTGGTGCAGCACTCTATCCCTCACCTCCTTGGTCAAATAGCCCTTACACAGTCTGGAGGTGTGTTGGGTAATTGTCCTGTTGAAAAACAAATGATAGTCCCACTAAGCGCAAACCAGAAGGGATGGCGTATCGCTGCAGAATGCTGTGGTAGCCATGCTGGTTAAGTGTGCCTTGAATTCTAGATAAATCACAGAAAGTGTCACCAGCAAAGCACCCCCACACCATCACACCTCCCCCTCCATGCTTCACGGTGGGAACTACACATGCGGAGATCATCCATTCACCTACTCTGCGTCTCACAAAGACAGGAATGTCCACCAGAGCTGTTGCCAGATAATTTAATGTTCATTTCTCTACCCCAAGCTGCCTCCAATGTTGTTTTAGAGAATTTGTCAGTACGTCCAACCGGCCAAATTATTATTATTATTTATATAGCGCCCCTTGTGTGCACATTCGGTAATACCGTATACCCCGGTGTGGTACAGAAACGGTATGACTGTATAAAAATCGGGATACCGCCCAAGCCTAATACACATACACTAACAAATCTCCCAAAATGACTAAAGACTACACTACTACATGTCACATAGATTTGAGCTCTCATTGTGTATGTGTATCATGATATCACTTACTGTTCCTGTTCCTGTAGCCCTGTTCCTGGTTGACAACCACCACGAGGTCTACCTGTGGCAAGGCTGGTGGCCCCAGGACAGCGAGAGCCCCGGCTCGGCCCGTATCCGCTGGGACGCAGACAGGAAGTGTGCCATGGAGACGGTGCTGCAGTACTGCACAGGTACTAGGACACTAGAGTTGTCAGCTGGTAGTAAGTTATACTGCACAATGTACACATTCAAAAAATGTCAGGGAAAAAAACAAGATGCCAAAAGCAAACAAAATGAACTCTTATAAGATATAAAGTGTTACTATTGACTTAGTTGAGTTTATTGAATCTTGCTCACAGATAATACTGAAGAAATACAGAATTTACATCATAAAAAATTGCTGAACAATCACTTCAAATACATAACACATAATACACAGCATACATAGAGTACTAGATACTTAAAACATTACAGGAAACGTTTTCATGATGGAAACAAATGTGAGAAACATTTATGAGCTAGAGTTGTTGTACAGTCTGACAGCAGTGGGTAGAGTGTTGTTTTTCAGGTGGTTCGTAAGTGCACTTATACAGGACAGTTCATGGCTGTTTTTCAGGAGCCTGGTAGTGCAGTTGCCTCATTTTGGAGGGAGCAGGTCATGCATTGGGTATTCAAGAGTGTGCATGTCCTTCACCAGGTGCACTGCAGCCTGCTCTGCAGTGACGGGAGCTGTGGTTAGACTGCTCCACCTCTGGAGATGATCCTCAGGGCCCTCCTCTGCACCCTGTCCAGTTGGGCCTGCTGCTTTTTGTTGCCTCCAACTAACAGCACTCCACCGTATTCCAGACAAGGCCTGACCAGTGTAGTGTATACTGTGACCAGATCTTCAGTGGGTAGGCCATTTCTGGCAAGAACAGTCAAAAATTGCAGGCATTTTGAGGCCTTCCCTGCTGACTGCTCCACATGTGTGTCACCACTGATGTTAGAGTCTAGATGATACTTGGAAGTTGCTACCGCTGGTACTTCCTGTCCCCCTAGGATGAGTGGTGAAGGTTAAAAAACATATCCGGATTTCCAGACTTTTTCCCATTCAAGAGCATGTTGTTGGATGTGTCCCACACTTCCAGCTGCTTTCCCTCCAAGCCCATGGATGTGTCCTCCTGGATGCTGGTTAGTGGTATGGCTCAGGACAGCCCTACATCATCTGCATACCCAGTGTCCAGAGTGTCACTGAAGACAACTTTTCGGGTGGACATATATGGTGAGACCATGCCCCCTTGTGGCATACCAGAGGTCACCTGGTGCCATTCTCCATCACCCTTCACCTTCTTCCGTTGGTGTAGCTGTGGAGCCAGACTAGTAACCTGGACAGTTCAATGTCAGGAGCTTTGCGTAATCCACTCTGATCAATGGCTTTGGACAAAAAGTAACACCCTCACCATTGTTGGTTTTCTGGAGTCTGTAGCTGTCAGCCAGGAGTGTGTGGCTTTCACAAGGGCAGTAGTAATGCTGGACTTTGGGAGGTAGGCATAGAGGATAGTTGGCATGAGTTTTTTCAGGATGAAGCTCTCCTGGATTTTTCCAAGGCATGAAGTTAGAGATGGGCCTCCAGTCACTCATTGTACATGGGTTTGACACTTTAGGTATGGGACACACATTGGCTGTCTTCCAGGCAGCAGGAACAGTCCCCTGCCTGTAAGGGGGTGTTAACAATGTGTGTGATGACAGGGGCTAGATCTTGTGCATACTCTTTTAGTAGCCAGGCTGGAATCCCATCAGGCCCACATGCTTTCCTTGGGCTGAGTCTGATCAGAGCTTGCTTTATCTGGCCAATGCTGCACAGCTCAATCTGCCTGGTAGGCATGGGCAGGGGGACGGTGGCGAGAGGTGTGGTACTCGTGCATGTCTCAGCAAAGAAGCCATTTAAAACATCAGCCACGTCGTCTTCAACTCCCTCAACCTGTATGCTCTCTCCTGATGTTTTCTTTGGTCCCAGTCCTTTGTTAATGAAGTCCCACCATTCCTTGGGGTTTTTCTTCTTTTGGTCCTGGAGTTCAGTTTTGTAGTAGTTTTTCGTTGCTTCCTTTATAAGCATTTGTTCTGTGTTTCTGTATTTCCTCAGTTTCATTGTTTTTCCCCATCTGTTGAACGTCTTCTGTATTTTCCTGATGGCAGCCTTTATTTGTTCAGTCATCCAGAACTTCTCCAGTGTCGTTGTTTTTCTTATTTATGATTGGCATGCATACATACAAGTGCAGTTTGAATGCAGGAGTTGAACGTCCCCACCTTCGAATGCACACTCTCCACCTCATCAATGGCAGACCTGTCAGTACTGGCCATACACAATGCCAAGCATGATATACATTGTTCTAGGTATATCATCAAAAGAGAGAGGCAATGTGGAACTGTTTGATTTATACTAAACATTACATTTTTTTGCTCACCCCCCCCACAGAGAAGAATGAGAAGAAGCCACCCAAGGCGTATCTGATCCATGCGGGACTTGAACCTCTAACCTTCACCAACATGTTTCCCTGCTGGGAACACAGAGAGGACATAGCTGAGATCACTGAGAGGGTGGGTCACCTATTGCCCATCCCATACCTATTACACCAAACACATCCCTATCATCCACCTAAATATCCATTAGATCTACATTGTAACCAACTCCTCCTGTTGCCGGCTTATTCCAGACAGATTTCCTCCTGGTCAGCCCTAGGTTTCAAACCGGCAACCCTCAGGGTACTGGCCACCTCGAGGCTACTGCCATCCCAAGTGGATAAGGATGGGATTGATTTTGAAAGTGTGTGTACTGACCATGACGTCGTATGTATATCCTTGTGTGTCCCAGGAGGCGGAGGTTTGTAACCAGATAATTCTGGTAGAGGATGTGTTGGCACGGCTGTGTAAGACCACCTACCCCCTGGCAGACCTGCTGGTACGGCCCCTACCCGAGGGAGTCGACCCCCTACGCCTGGAGATCTACCTAGACAATGATGACTTTGAGGTGAGGCCACGCCCACACCTACGGTACCATCAGCACCCTGGAGAATTATTATGACATTTTGTCTAGGTTTGCCTTGGCTCAAACCATATTATACAGGTATGTCCACTCAGTCTGTGGTTGAGCTATGTTTGCAACAATAATGAGACTCTCTCCAATGTGTGTGACCAGGGATCATAATGGAACATTATACACTGGTAGTCAAGGCAAACGAGTCTAAAACAGTCTTTCTTTCTAAAATCCATAAAATAATCACACTGAAGTGTCCTTCAGTCTCCTTGAACTTTTTGTTATCTGTGTTTTTATGTAATGAATGTCCTCCATCCCCTTCTGTCCTCTCTTTCTCTCTGTGACTCATCATGTGTTTAACTCTTCCAGGGTGTAGGGGCTTATGGGAAGGTGAGTTCTTTAAATTGAGAGCACAGGTGGCCCCAGATATGTACACAGCATCCTCACTTTGACTTATTAACTACATCACCCATAATCCTGTGTGTGTTGCTTTCTGTCTCACCTCCCTCCTCCCTCTGTGTCTGGATCAACACACTCTCTCACTCTGAACCTCTCTTGCATGGTTTGGTCTGTTTCCACTCACTAAGTAATAGCTGTGTGGATTTTCAGTACTAGATGCTCCTGGAGTGATGAACTGGACCACTGACCATGTTGTGACCTTGAATTTACTTGTGAATGTTTGTTTTTGCAGCTCATGCGTTAAAGTAATTTCACAAGAGTTGATATAGTGGTTGGCAGATTTTGTGCTTATTGTGTGGTAACAATGTGTATTTGCCCCCCTGCAGAAAGCTCTGGAGATGTCGAGGGATGAGTATGAGGTGTTGCCAGGTTGGAAGCAGGTGAACGTGAAGAAAGCCAAAGGATTGTTTTAGTACGTTGGACAGAAGGCTTGTCCACCGGATGACATCATCAGCAAGCGACGGTCAGTCACTGAGGTGCATCGTGGTCCAGTTGGAACTCGCCACTGAGAACTGAGTTTAATATTTAACCCCTTCATCTCCGGATTGGAGAGGGCTTGGGAACACACTCTTCTGAGTACCCTACCCTAGGAGGGAGGGAGGGAGGGAGGGAGGGAGGGAGGGAGGGAGGGAGGAGAGATGCAGTGGTGATAGGAGTGAGGATCAACAGAGTTGTGCCAGCCTCGTGTATAGTTTTCTTATTTTCTTAATTTTATTTGTATGTGTTACCAGTTTTGTTTTGTAATTATAAATGTAGGTAGTTCAGAGCCATGTGAGTGAATGTTGAGTGGATGTTTATGTAATCTGTCGGCACCCGGCTTTTTAAATCTACACAGTGTGTGCGGTTGTGTGTGCGTGTGTCTTTGTGCGTGCGTGTGTGTGTGTACCCGTGTGTGGTGTGTGTGTGTGTGTGTGTGTGTGTGTGCGTGCATGCTCGTTTGTGTGTGTGTGTGGGTGTGACCATGCTTTTACAGTACATACAGCAGTTTGTCAGTTGGTCTGGGAGCAGGAGAACCACTGCTGACACACCCCAAATAGACTCTCTGCAAGCTGTTCTTTTATGTGTGTTTTGTGCATTACAATCAATCATTTATGTTTATATTTACTCCATAATAGGAATAAAAAGCCTTTTGAGTATTGTCTGTGACATAAGAAATAAAATAAATTGTATTGTTATTCATGTTGAGGTTGTCATATGTTAATAAGTAGTTGGACAATAATGCTCCTTTCCCCAGAGACTGTACATGTCGCCATTTTATTGAACAAATCATGTATCTACTACATTCTGATGTGTCTGTTATCATTGCTATGCTGTCCTGCATCATTCAGGTGCTCAGATTAAAGATCATTGTTGTATTTTACGGGCATGAATTTACAGAAATAGAAAGACGAGAAGAATCTTATAAATTCAACATTGTATAGTGCCTTGCTTTTATGTACAGTTTATATACAGAACGATACTAGTCTGTGTTTTAAAGACTATTTGTGATATAAAGGATATTAGAGAAATAAACATTGAAGGTAAATCTATGGATGTTGTTTTGCCTCTATCACCTGAAATGATCTAAATGGATGTGTCACAAATGGCAACCTATTCCCTTCATAATGCACAGCTTTTGAACAGAACCCTATGTGCCCTGGTCAAAAGTAGTGCACTATTACATTTACATTTTAGTCATTTAGCAGACACTCTTATCCAGAGCGACTTACAGTTAGTGAGTGCATACATTTTTCATACTGTATAGGGAATAGGATACCATTTGGGACATACACATTGTTTCTTTAATCCCTTGGCTTTCAGCTTCCATATAATGCCTAAACCCTCAATGACACAGCAAACTGGTAGGTCTGGTATGTTCTCTCAGATAAAAAACAGAAGTGTACGTTTATGCATATGTATCAATTGATTATGTATTTCGTTTGTATTTTGTTGCTAGGGTATGTTGTTGCACAGTTTCTCCAACAGAGTGTGCTGAAACACAGATAGATACTATGGGAGAATCTCAATTGCATTTCCTTTCCTCAACTTCTCAAATCACATTGGATGAGAAGGTCAGAGAGGAGAGACTTCTGACCTTCCAATCCAATGGGTTTTGAGGCACGAACTCTCAATGAATCAAGGAAATGCAATTGAGATTCTCCCCTTGGTTGCTGTTGAGTCATAGGGGTCATGTTAGGGTGTTGCATGAGTCAAGTCAGGTTGCTGTAAATTGCAGGCTTTTTGCTGTGATCACAGATTGCTTGCCGGCATAACTAATGGTGGCACTGCCTAAAGTGCGGTCTGATTGAGTAGTACACCTGCAATTTCTAGTCTGTTGAGATCCTGTATTAAATGTTATTATACATCATGATTGTCTCATGTAAAATGGACCTCTGAAACTAATTTGTATTTGACTGGTGCTCTCTGTAGCTCAGTGTCGTCATGCAAGCATACAGACCAGACTAGACCGTGCTTTTGAATGTCATCATGTAGCCTTGTCATTATCAGTCCCAAATCTCTGCTTAAGCAGTCCCACACAAACACACACACTCACCATCAGAGCTGTGAGTGTCAAATTTGCCAGGGGATTTTCATGGCTCCCTTTAAATGGCTTTTGTAGGTCAGATACTTGTGCAACTGGAACTCAACATCACTTGAAATGCTCTAGCAACAATAAATGTGTCCATGTTTTAAAAGCTAACAGTTATGCAAATACTCTGCCGCTGTGTTTAGTGAGGTCAGTGCTACTGCATGTTAATACAGTATACGAAATACATGTTTTCTTTGGTGGGGGTAGATCAACTTTAATATTGCATATATACTGTATTGTGGCTTCTATCAATGTAATTGTCTGCATGATTTCCAATTCCCCATATTTTTTTGTAAATATATTATTTTAAATATATATATTTTCCTTTGTTATTTTCCCCGAACCCTACCACCCCTCCCGTAATTGGACTAAATTAATGGACAACAGTATTTGGCCTTCTACTTCCAGCTTATACATACTACATACATTTTACGGACACAGTATATTTGACAATAGTTATCTTTTTTGTTTTGTTTTTAGTCCCACCCTTCAGCTATCCTCAACCTATCTCTGTAAACTATCTCTGTAAACCATCCAATTTTGATTTCTAATTGCCGTATCTTTTTCAACTGTGCTATAATGTTCTGAACCGTTCTATTCTCATAGTTTCTACAGATTGTAAATTATATCAACTTTTATAGAGTATTATAGATCGATTGACTATGGCTTTTCAAGTCACCCAGCAGTGCTATTTGCAGGGTTAGCTCCAGGTAAATGTTGCAGTACAGCAGACGTTTGTAAAATGGAAGATAATATTAAAGCTCTTATTTTATTTTTTGGAGGGGGGGGGGTGTGATGTGAAGATCTGAGCTGTCATGTCGTATTCATGATCGTGTCTGAGCGTGTGTGTGTCTTTGAGATTGTGATGAAAGAGGAATGAGGGCCAATTGATTAAGTTTGGTGCAATCGCAGAAGAACAATACAGTATACACCTCTGCCTGTTACTGTAGCTGTCTCTGTTCTGCTCATTGTGGATCCATCACTGTTCTGTTGTATTCATTGGAAGGGCAGGGCGTACGTTTGTTTCAACATTACACAAAGTTCACAGGGTCTCTGTCTGACAGGCAGCACACTTTGAAACTGATGTCTCCTCCCTGCGTGCAGGATGGCACAGTTCTCGGTCTCTTCACACACCAACACAAACACACAGTGCTGAATACAACAATGTGGGATCTACTGTGTGTGTATTTGTGTGTGTACTAGCGTGCCACATTTTTTGATACACTGTAGCAGCTCCAAACCTCCAGTCTGTTTGTGAAGTCTCTTCTGAGCTCATCCCAGTCTACCCTCTGAGGGCTTTGATCCGCGACATGCGATTCCTCCCACTCTACCACCCACTCAATGTAAGATGCTCTGACTCTCCCTCGCTCTCCTTTCTCTTCCTCGGTTTCTCTCTCTTCGTCTTCACCCCTCTCTCTCCTTCCTTCTCACTCTTCATCCCACTCTCCCAACCCTCCTCCCTCCCTCCCTCTCTCTCTCCTCTGTTTACCATCCATAATCCATAATACCATGCAGAAGACAGAAAGAGACACACACAAAAGAACTGTAGGTAGTCCCATGTGTGGGTAGCATTGTTGCACATCCAATCCGTCTTAAAGCAGGTCTCTTATGTGAGAGTGACTCTGTGTGTGTTTGTGTGTTACTCCTATGCGTGAGTGACTCTCTGTATCATAGCCAGGAGTCCGTCTTGGCATCACATTCACATCATGTCAAGCTGCTCAGGGTAAGAGCCTGTCTCCGGTTAAGAGCCTGTCTCCGGTTAAGAGCATTGGAGTAAATTATACATCAGAACAGTAGAATGGAACAAAACCAAGCAACTGCCAGCCACGCACGTTATCATTACCTCAAGTTTCTTATCAAATAGACTTGATTAATCTCTTTTGCCTTCTCTCTTAAAGGGGAATTCCACCACGTTTGAACATATCTCCAGCACTGTTTGTGATTAATTATTAGTTTATGCAAAGTATAATTAAAATATCAGTAAATATTTAGCCTGCCGTATGCCCACAGTACGCTTTCGAGGCCCAAGCCCAGCTCGTCTATACACTACTAATAGACTAAATGTAGGGGGAAGCAAATGGCACCCTATTCGCTATATAATGCTCTACGGGCCTATAAACCCTGATCAAAGGTAGTGCCCTATAAAGGAAATATGATGCCATTTGGGACGCAAACAGAGTTTGGCAGCTATCTCCCTAATGCTCTTAACCATCTGTCGTTGCTTAGGCCCTTTCCACGAGAACATAATGTTTATGATAAATGTTAATTCAACACGCAGTCTTGAGGTGCGAAGTGGCACAGTTGAGTTTTAGCACCTTTTATTTCACAATATTTGCATTTGGCCTGGTGCCTCTCTCCTCCCTCTCCTTCTCTTATCCCACTCTTCTTCCTCTCTTCCCTCTAACACTCCTCGCCTCTCCTCCCTCTCTTCATCTCATCCCTCTTTCCAGAATCCATAGAAGATCACAAGCCCATAACAATGACAGGTGTAATAAGGTTTAGCATATATTCTTCAGTGCTTCTGTTTTGGTTTTGTTTGTTTGAGTTTCTATTTATGTTGGGAGTATCACAAAGCGCCTCCATGCGTCAAAAATGAGCTAAGTTTCTTGCTTGTCTCTACTCCTTTTTCTCCTCCTGCGTTCTCTCCTCTCTTCCTCCACCTCGTTCCCTCGTTTTTCTGGTTGGAAAGGAAAAGCCTCCTGAAGCCAGAGTTTCCTGTCCAAAGAATAAGACTGTCTCAAATGGCACCCTATTCCCTATATAGTGCACTACCAGGGCCCATAGGGCTTTGGTCAAAAGTAGTGCAATAGGGTGCTATTTGGGACATACCCTAGGGAAAGCCACATCTGAAAGACCCTGAGCAGAAAAGCTGAAATGATTTATGGGAAACAAATGTTTTCTCTCCTTTTCTCTCCTGCCCAAACTTAGTCCTCTCAGTCAGTCCTTGTGGTGATCTGTACTTATTACCCCAGATTTAAACCTGACTGGATTTATGTTGCGTGGACGGAGTCTGATTTTGGACTATAGCCTCCTGCCTGTTGTAGTTCCCTTTGTAACTAACAGAACAGTGCACTTGGCTTGTGTCTGAAATGGCACCCTATCCCCTATGTGGTGCACTACTTTTTTTTTAACCTAGGCCCCTGTTATTGGGACAAGACCCTTGTCTTCCAGTTCAGTTCAGCCGCTGCCATTTTGTTTAATAGGACTGTTAGGCTAATTAGCAGGAATACGTTGTGACAGCAGGTCAGTCAACATAGATCTCAGGCACAAGGAGACCTCATACAGAGATCTCCATCTAATAATTTACCCAATCACCTCCTTTCATCACTGTGTGTGTGCCCATATATGTGTGTGTGCCACACAGAGATGTAAACCCAGTAGTTGGACCTGACACGAGCTTGCCCTCCCGCTGCCACCTGGCATCATTACAGACCCTGCTTCTCTAATCAACAAGAACCAACAGAACTCCTGCCTCCAACCCCCTCTCCTCTCGTTTCCTCTCCTCCACCCCTCCATCCCCCTCTCCTCCATCCCTAGGCCCCCCTCCCTCCCTGCCTTCCACCTTCTCTGCTCTCCATCCCTCCCTCCTGAGTCCTACCTCCATCCTCCTCTCCTCCACCCCTCCATCCTTTTTAAATAACATCTGCATAATTTCACCAGAGTGAACAACGTCAATTAAACTTGACAATATACATTTTTTTGGTGTGTATTTTTAGGAAAGGAGAGAGGGAGTCAGGTGCAGTTTGGGACTGACTGCACCTGAACAAAATCACAAAGCTGTGTTACCATGGAGAGAGTGACTCAGCAACAGTCATTCCTTCTCCTTCTCTTTCTCTCACCCTCTTTCTCTCTCTCTCTCCCTCTCCCTCCTCCTCTCTCTCACAGCCCAGATCCAAGGAAACAAAAACATTATCCCAACTTTAGATCCCAAGGTCTGACCGACCCACGCTGTTTATTTTAAAACCTGAGGTCCAAATTGATGCCCGGTATTC